TATTCAGAGTATGTGGGTTCAAGTCTCAGCTCCACTCCTAATTCCTGCTTCCTGCTACCTTGGAAGCTACAGAGATGGCTTGAGGTGATGGGCTAGACCACCTGCATGGACACACAGATGGTTTCAGGCCTGACCAAGCTGGATGTTGTGGGCATTTGGGGGATTTCTGTCTCCCAAATAAAGGAAGGAAGGAAGAAACAAATGTTACTGCATTTTAGAAAAAATTATAAATCTCAGCTTTATATCGTTTGTATTATAAGTTTTAGTGCTTCAATAAGGGACCATTGAAACCTGTAAACCAACTGTCCAACCTGTGCTTACATGGGAAGTGACATCTTTCTATTTTCTCACTCTTCAACACTGTATTACAATTCATTAGCACTATTCTGTGAATTAGGCAACCTGAAATTTGTTTCACCTTCAAAATTAACTTTATTGGTGATATTCCCATTTACCTCATGACACAGCTGTCTTGTTACTTTCTCATCAACAACAACAACAAAAGACATGGTTCAACTTAAAGAGTTAACTGATGAACAAAGAAGGAATTCATACAACTTACACACGAGGTGACTTTAGAAGGGAAATGTGATCTGATCCACCTTAACTATTGATGGAAAATATCGTACATTAACTTTTCAGGGACACAAAGGTGGGAAGTATGTGATTTTTTTTTTTTGAGAAACGTACCAACTTTGGGCAGCCTGCAGTGTGAGAACTTGCTAGCAGAGGTATCACTTTGCCTTCTGGGAAGGATCATAGCACGGTATGGTGCTAGACCACAGATGTTCGGTTTAACAGTTTGGTTGAGGATGGTAGGTAGTCTCAGAGAACTACAAAATGCCTCTGCTGAGCCAGTTAACCAGTAAGATTCCACTTACATGTGCACTGCTTTGTATCTTCCCACATAGCAGAGCCTAAGTGACCTGTGACAACTAAGAGAATGGCCTTGCTGGCCTAGGACTGTGTGTGGGTGTTGCTCGTGGTACTTTACACTTACGAGGTGCAAGCTTTTAATGCACAGATGACTCATAAGGTTTCAGAATGTGTAAAGTTGGAGCAAAGTCTAACTTATACCATCACTAGTACCTACCACCAAACTACCCTTGTTGTTTACTCAATTATTTGGTTTACCAGGAAATTCACAAACGTCAATCCCAGTTACTCTGCTTCCATCCAACCTCCGGCCATCTGGGAGGCAGCAGACCTAAATACTTAAGGTCTTACTCTGGTCTGGGCCACCCCAAGCCATAGCAGCCATTTGGGGAGTGAACCAAGGCACTGGAATCTTTTCTGTCTTACCCTTTCTCAGTCATTGATAGGAAAAAAAAATTAGACTTAGTTATTTGAACAGGCTAGAGACAGAGATCTTCAATCTATTGGTTTACTCCTCAACAGAAGCAACAGAAGCCAGGACCCTGGAACTCCATCTGGGTCTCTCCCTTGGATGTAGAGGCTCAAGTACTCGGGCCCATTTTCTACTACCTTACCAGGCACGTTAGCAGGCAGGGTGGATTAGCAGAGAGGTGAAGCAGCATATGGGATGCCAGGATGGCAGGTGTCAGATCAACCCACTGCACCATGCCAGCCCCAAGAAAAATTCTTGAGTCCATGATTCTTAGTATTTAGGGTGCCACTCTCTTGAGCCAGAGATATATACTTAATCTGCATTCTGTAACATTGTCTGAATGACAACAATCAACTAAGGATATCTTTTTAAGACTGCGAAGAAGCAAAGGCATAATGAAAACCTTAAATAGGTTAAAAAATATCAAATAGAAAATTCAGGAATGTAAAACTGTAGGTCTTTAGGTAAGTTTTCTCTCAGTTTTTATTAGTGTAGAACAATGTTCTGAGCTAAAGCATTTTAAAACACTTTACTACATTGGTTTCAGTCCTGGCTGCTCTGTTTGATTCAGCTTTCTACTCATGTGCCTAGGAAAACAGCAGATGGTTCAAGGACTTAGGGTCCTGAACCAAGTGGGAGATCTGGATGGATTTCCTGGCTCCTTGCTTCAATTTGGCCCAGACCTGGCCATCACATCCATTTGAGGGATGGACAAAGCAATGAAAGATTACTCTCCTTCCTCTTGCTCAGTTACTGGGCTTTTGAGGATTTAAAAAATCTTACAAGTTCACTTAAGTAACCTGATCAAAACACATGAAATATAAGGCCAATCACAATTTGAAGTGATTTGTTGTAATAAACACAATGCAATGCGTGTATCAAATCATCACTGTTTGAACACTTTTGCAGATTAATATTTTTAAAAATGGAAATATGAGAAGCGCTTCATTCATGATATAATAAAACCAAGATTAGTATTTTATGTGACTAACTTCTGATGTTCCTTGAGGGTTTGATTCGGTTGTCAGAATTTCCCTTTTCTTGATGACAACTTGGAAGAAGCCAGATCCTTAGCATTCTTAGAGCAGTATTTTGGAAGTAAATCACTTACCATTAGAACAACCTTGGAAACTGTCACTGAAGACCCAGCCATGCAGAAGACTGGGATTCAACAACAGGATATTGCTTCAATACTTAAGAATTGCGAGATCCTAACAGATGGAAAGAATATAAAAGAATAAAGTTTAACCCGTTTTATAAGTGGAATTAATATAATATAGTTCCCTCAGTGGCAAAAAAAAAAAATCTGTTGAACTTACACATAGAAAAAGACTTCTAAGTTACAACTTCGTGCAGGATTAAGCTTTTGGATTCTAACATCAGCAAACTGATTATCAACATCAAAAGCAAACTTCTGATTAGACTCTTCTGCACAAAAATATAAACAGCTTAAAGGTGATTTTGTTTTTACAGATCAATAGAAACGGAAGCCAAAGATGGCAAAAGATTAATCATTGCTTACTTGGAAACTAAGAGAAGTATTAACACCAACATTTAAGCTTTTGATCAGATCTATGCAAAACAAAAATCTTCAGACAGGGTCACCATGAAAATTGTTAACAGCCGTTTCGAGATGATTTTATATTTCCAACAAAAATAAATGCCAGAACATTGGGTCATTCTTTTATTAACTCTGGAGGTCCACTTGAGATTCTCATCTATGAGAACACCCACTGATAATAACAAATCAGCTTGGATTCCCTGAACCACCACCCATGCACAGCTGGACTGGGAGGTGGCTGGTAGTTAAGCATCAACTGCCACATTTGGTCACATCCCTCAAGCTGTTACAAACACCGAATGTTTGCTCAATTCTAACTTTAGCTATTTACTGATTGAATTCATTTCTGAAAACAGACCTCCTGCTTTCATTAGGTTCATACCTCAGGTGGTTTTCTTTTGAAGACTCAAGGCAGTATTGAGGGAAGTCACAAGTAAAATGGGTGATTTGTCAGGAACACTTAACCATTTGGGCAGCTAAGTGAGTGGAGTCTGTGTTAGGAAATTCCCCGTGCCCTTAATAGTTTTAAACCTGAAGTACTAGCGGGCTACTGTAATTGTGAAGGTCCAGGAAGTTCCAGGGATCTCATGATTACCAATCCAAAGGCTTTAAGAGGCAGAGGTGCTTTTCAGGGAAGCAGCTGATAAAATTTTCTTTAAAAAATGTATGATTTCCTTGAGAGGCAGAGAGATAGAAGCAAACCAGTCAGACACACAGAGAAACTTTCAGTTGCTGTTTCACTCCCAAAATGTCCATAACAGCTGAGGCCAGTGCAGACTCAGGAAGGAGCCAGAACCTCAGGGTCCCATGTAGGTTGCATGGGCCCAGCTAGTCATGCCTTCGCCTGTTGCCTCTTAGGGTGTGCATTAGCAGTAAACTGGAACAGGACAAGAACTTGAACCAGGCACACCAACAGAAGATGCAGATGATCCAGCATCATCTTTTGAAATTTTTCTTCTAGATTTATGTATGTATGTGTTGTATACATACATACATACATGTATACATATATACACATATATAAAAGGGGGTGGGTATATATATATTTTTTTCTCCATCTGGCTGGATTACTCCCCAAATGGCTGTAAAAACGAGATCTGTGTCAGGCCAGAGAGAATAACCAAAGAACTCCATTCCAGTTTCCCATGTGGGTGCTGGGGCCCAAACATCTGGGCCATCTTCCACTGTATTCTTAGAAACATCGGCAGGAAGTTGGATGGAAACTGGAGTAGCCAGGACAGCATATGGTATGCCAATATTGCAAGCAATTGCCTAACCCACAGCATCACAATACCAGCCTCTCAGGTGGCATCTAAATCTACTCCTACCACATGTTTGCCCCAAAAAAGACAGTGCAGAAGGCACTGCCACTGAGGCTGTTCAGCTTCGTGTCACACTTCTTCCTGTAACTGTTTTTACCTCTTCTGCATTTTCCTTCCCACACATGCTTTTACCTGTGATGTGCCCACCACTGTAACATTTACATGTTACAGAATGCATTTCAACAGCAGCTACATATTCATCCCAATCCTGTAACACACTAGCATTTGTGTTCTGTATGACTGGCACCATAAGCCACACACCCAAGCAAGGCTCATATATTTTCCTGTGGCCTTCACCCCCCAACCCTGGCACCTAGCACAGCAGCTGAAGCTTTTCACTGACTGTTCATGTACACAATTCAGCCTTTAAAACTCTGGCTGCAAGGTTTTTGCTAGTTGTTTGCCACAGAGTTTGCTCAATAAGTAGCTTATAATATATTGAAGTCAAACCTTATTTACATGAATGTGATATATTATAAATGTTAAACTATGACTCTCCTTTTATTTATTTAGTTGGGTAAAATGGTGGAGTTATTAAAATGTCTTATAAACACCCCAGGAGAATACAAACTAGCCTCTTTGACAGACCAAACAGCGTCACTGAGCACTCACTGGGAATGAAAGCAGCTGACAATAACGTGAGTCATGACGGAGGCTTCTGGCTGCTAACCCCCAAGCCCAGCCCAACGATCAGATAAGGGAGGCAGAGTAGGCCAATGTCACCCACTGTGGAAAGTGCAGAGCAGAAAGTGTTATCAACATAAACATGTGAGGCACAGAAAATCTTTATTGCCACAGGAAGCAAGTGCACTCGTCCCACCTCACCAACAACTTTAAGTCACAAAAATGCAGACTTCACACAATAAAGTATAACACAATTTGGGGAGAAATGGTCCCTTGGACTATATTGGCTGTAATACTGAGGTAACCAATTGACCTTGTTCAGTGAAAATACCTCTAACACAATGAAAAAATCGACTAGTTATAACATCCAATTCATATATACAATTCAAATAAAAATATATATTATTTGCTTTAATGTATAGCAAGTTTAATACATTAGTGTTTATAAAATAAAAACTGTATTCTACTGAAATTCTTCTTGTGCTTCTTCCTTATCACATAGCTTGAAAGACAAGAAAAGTATGGTACTTAAGGAAACCTATTTATGGATTTAAAGATGCAGCTTGTGGGTCCATAAAAGATGGATAAATATTAGTTGGAAGACAACTGCATCTTCAAAAACTGTTACTTATTAAAATCTACAAACTTGAACTGTGAGACACAATTAAAAAAAAAACCACAAAATTTCTCAAAATAGATTAGAATACAGGAAACGTTTCATGAAACTACTGAGATACTAACCAGTGCTATGGCTAATATTAAAAACTGAACATTCTATTTAAGTCGTACTCATACTATTTCTATACACAGTGAACAATACAACCACAATAATCAACCTCAAGCTAGCAACAGAGTTGCAAGGTCCATAAGAAGCTTCTTCAGTGAGCAGAACACTATGGTACAATTAAAACACGTAGGAAGGGAAAAAGCCTTTTAATAGTATAAAAGTTGTTTACTGGTGTCTCTACCGTAAAGCTCTCCTACAAACCCCAAACTGAAAAAGCAGTTAGATATGTGACAGTGATCAGAGACTACAGTGCAGACATTTCATCTAACATTTGGCTGACGAACTGCAGGATAACAGATTATGACTTAGTATTTTTTTTACAGTTATGATCTAAAGCAGAACTGGAAACAAAATAACACATACATCATGTCACTACACTCTTCTTGGCAACCTCTGGGTTTAGGTAATCTGTAGGAAGTTCAGTAAAGCTGTCAAATCTCTTCTCTTAAATCGGCAGAATGTCTACTGGCAGATGTTGTATTTCTTCTTCCACTGTGGATTCCAATATGAAATTCTCGTAAGGACCCAAGGACATTATTAACATTAAGTATAGTCCCATGTAAATGCAGACAGTCCACTAATTAAGTAGGGGGGATTAAAAACATCTTTTCAAGTTGAAATGAATCTTAGGAAGAAATTGCATTCACAAATCAGAAAGGTATATAAAAATGACATTTTAAAATAAATAATGAATATGTGTTCACTAAACCTCCACAGAAATGTGTCTGCAAATGTGGGTGTCATGAGCCCACATTTGTGACAGCTGGAAGGGTAGATATTTCCCTGTGAGAGGCATCTAATCTTTGTGACTCCTGAACATGAACAGGAATTTCTGGACATAATACGGTACTTAAATCTATCACACCTTTATTAACAGTTACCATCTTTTTCACACTTAGGATTAACTTACTAGGTCTTCATCTGGTTAACACATTCTGAAATACCAATGTTTAAGTCAAGATTTTGCATCTCTACTTGCTTCAAGTTTTCTGTCCAAGTGGTAACACTTTCCTGTTATTGTTACCTCTTCAGCAGTTACTATAGAACTCTATCTGGGTCAATTTCGGTAAGAGATACTTTCTTCTTCATTGTTCATCTTTTTTACTTTTCTCCAATATTTATGGATTATGCAAATACACACTGATTAAACCAGTGAAAAAGCTATTAGAAAGTGAATGCTACACATTTCCTATTAAATCAGATCAAGCTTATCAAATATCAAACCCACAAAATTTTCCTTGGTTTAAACCAAATATTTTCTTTTTCATTTTTAAACAATCAATGCAGCCTTGTCAATAACATCACCTGTACTTTCCTTTTGTTGACTACAAAGATTCTAAGCTTTTGACACGTAATAATATTTATGCTAAATACACTAAAAAGTACATAACAAATTTTCAAGTAAAATAAACTGTATCCACATCTATTGGACCAAAAAGGTCTCAACATTTAGATTTTACTTCTATAAGTTACACAAACACATTGTACATTCTTAAATAATGAATGCTTACAATATTAATTTGTAAGCCTTTCCACATACAACAACTTACACAGGAATGTGAATGAATCAATATTTCTGTTACAGATTGCGACACTCAATTCTCTCTTTTGTGGCTGTTGTTTAGTTTTCCATAAACTACTATACCACTCCTTATGCTTTGGCTATGAAATCTGTTTGAGCTGAATGAGGCAACATTGGTTATTAAGGCTTATTTCTACGATGGAGCATTTTCCTTAAGTTGATGCCATTTCCAGAGAGCAGGAGGAGAATCGCAGCTATCTCGAATCTTCAGGCTCTGTTTTGATGACCTTCTTTTCTAAAGTGAAAGCTGAGTGAGGATAGTCTTTTAAAATCCCAAGGCTCTCTGCATAAAAACACAAATAACATAGATAAATGGACTACAAAAATCAACATTATAAAAACAAACTCCCAAACTTCAATGAAAACAGCAGTGATTTTGCAATTCTGTCTAAAAAGCAGTAGTTAAGAACTTGATTCTGAATTTCAATTCTGGAAGCCTAGGCTGTATGCATTTCTGGGTCAGTGTACAAGCCTTTAGAGTCTTCGGTTATAACATGGGGAGTTTATATATAAAGTGACCTGATAGGAAAGCTTCGCTTTCTTCATCTAAAAAATTGGCAATTTTGCTTAAGTGATTACTAAATTCAAAGACTAAATAACACTAAATTCTGTCAAGTGGTGCTAGTCTCTAACACTCTGTCTTACTTAACTTTGGCAAAAATATATAGAAGTCTATAAAGAAGCCATCTATGGAATTTAGTTATTTCTGAAATATGAATATCATTTCATAATGCACCTACATGAAGTTCAGATTTTGGTCCATAACGTTTTCCTAATTGGAGAGCAAAGAGAATCCACCAAATCTATACGCTATCAAAGAAAAAAGAAAACAGCACCACTCAAATCAGTTTAAACTTTGTACACAGATTAAACTTTTCATAAAAGTCACTATACATCTAACAGCTAATCATGATAAACAGAAGCATTAAGAACATTTTTAACATTCTCTGGAATAACTACTCTTTTTTCTTACTGTTCCAGTCAGTGAAAGGGAAACTTAAATGAGGCTGTGGGGACCCTGGGAGTGGGGCCTTATTTGCCCCTCTTGGGGCACAGGTGCTTGTTGTGACTGCATTTCTTCTTGCGGTAGGCTGATGGTGTGGGTGTGCAGGCATGCATAGCACCTGTGGCAGGCCATTTCACTGCAGCTGTACTTCTAGTCAAGCTGCTGCAGGGAGGGCTTGACGATGCTACCCACAGTTGGGGTATCAAGTGTAGGGTGGACTCTTTCTGGATACTAATTTGACAGAGTGCAGCTGTCCTCCAGCTGCTTGCTGACAAACATCAGTCAATGCCAGTCACAGGGGATGCCCTCCTGGTCTTCAGATTCTGGTTTTGACATTTTCGATGGTGTTGCTGGGCTAGATCTTGAGGGTAATGGTCTTGCCCAGCAAAGTCTTCACAAAGATCTGTATCTTGGTGTCTGTGGGATTACATGGCTGCCGCCAGCAACCCACTCGACCACCTCTTTAAAAGACTGGCTGATATTAAGGCAATCTATAGTTCCTAAAGGGGAGAAGAAGCAACTTAGCTCTTAGTAATGTCACTTTTTCGTTATGTGTCGGGAAGCTGGTGGGAGAATAAAATTAAAAGATGTTTGCATTCAAGTGTTACTCTATACTCCAAAAAAGCCACATTCTCACCTGATGAGTGGGACTTTGCCTCACTGGAGTAAAGCTTACTCAGCTCTCCATCCACCACAAAATGATGGGGCTGTCTGTTCTGTAAATTGGGCATTCGGAGATTCAAAGGTCTCTCTCCTAAGGAAAAGAAAAAAAAATTAAAACCACACCTTAGCTTTTCTTAGAAATAAATGTCCAGGACAGGCATTTGGTACAAGTGGTTAAGATATGGCCTGGGCACCCACATTCCTTATCAAAGTGCCTGGGTTGGATCCCAGCTCTGCCAACACGCATCCTGCAAGCCAGCAGGGGATGCTCATGTGGGAGACCCGATGGAGTATCCACTCATGGCTTTTGCCTGGCTCAGATCTGGCTCTTGCGAACTTTTGGGGTGTCAACTCTCTTTCTCAAATAAACAATAAAAATACATTTCAAATTAAAAAAAAATAGTAAGTTTTCATAACCACCTGAACACTCCTTGGAAAAAGAGTGAGGAAAGTTAACAGGCACACAGATAATAGTTGCAAAAAATTTTTTTTTAAATAATTCAGGGAAAAAACACTAAGTCATTTCATCCTAGTCAAGGCTTAATATTTGCCAGGACTTTTTTTTTTAAAAAAGATTTGTTTCATTTTTTATTACAAAGTCAGATATACAGAGAGGAGAGAGAGGAAGATCTTCCGTCTGATGATTCACTCCCCAAGTGGCCACAACAGCCGGTGTTGTGTCAATCCAAAGCCAGGAGCCAGGAACCTCCTTCAGGTCTCCCACATGGGTGAAGGGTCCCAAGGCTTTGGGCCATCCTTGACTGCTTTCCCAGGTCATAAGCAGGGAGCTAGATGGGAAGTGGGGCCGCTGGGATTAGAACTGGCGCCTATATGGGATCCCGGCATGTTCAAGGCGAGGACTTTAGCTTCTAGGCCATGGTGCCAGGCCAGGACTTTCTAAAAGAGCTAAATATAAATTAAACATAAAACTGAGGACTCTAGGGGCCTGGTGTGGTAGCCTAGTGGCTAAAAGTCCTCACCTTGCATGTACAAGGATCCCATATGGGCACCAGTTGGTGCCTCTGCAGCTACACCTCCCATCCGGCTCCCTGCCTTAACTGCATCAGTTAAGTCTTAAACATTAAGAATGTTTGGGGCCTAGCGCAATAGCATAATGGTTAAGGTCCTCGCCTTGAACGTGCCCGGGATCCCATATAAGCGTCAGTTCTAATCCTGGAAGCTCCACTTCCCATCCAGCTCCCTGCTTGTGGCCTGGGAAAGCAGTCGAGGATGGCCCATAAGCCTTGGGACCCTGCACCCACGTGGGAGACCTGCAGGAAGTTCCTGGCTCCTGGTTTCGGATCGGCACAGCACCGGCCATTGCAGCCACTTGGGGAGTGAATCATCCGACGGAAAATCTTCCTGTCTCTCCTCTTCTCAGTACATCTGACTTCCTCATAAAAATAAAATAAATCTTAAAGAAAGAATGTGTGGAGAAATTAAGGAAGTTCACACTTAAAATGTTTCTGTGGTATCCTACAGTGCTCTGATTTGGTAACATCTGTAATACTTGATTCCAAGGCTGCAGAATATTTGCTAAGATGATATTCTTCTTAAGAAATAAAATCTTTTTTTTTTTTGGACAACAGTAATGGATCTTTAAATGTACTACAAAATTACTGGTATGTATATATGTATGTATACACACACACACACTCAAATGCTGTACATGTTCCTTCATTGGACTGTAAGCTCTGAGTGAGCAAAGATTGGTATCTTACTCATTGCTATCTGCAGTGCTGTGCTACAAACATACCTGGCACACAGGAAATATGAAAACAGAAATGTGAAGTGATTAGCAGTAATGGAATTTGCTTCATTGTGAGAACTTGAAAAAGATAAAATAATACTCAAAACAGCCAAAATACTTTTTAAACTTAAGAACTGCACTTCGTCATAAGACTTTACAAGCAGTTACCATAGTCTTTTATGAAACAAATGGTAGGGGTCCAGGGTTACAGCACAGTACGTGAAAGCTGCTGCCTACAATGGGCATTCATATGGGCAAAGGTTCAAGTCCTGGCTGTTTCCTTATGCTCCAGCTCCCTGTCAGTGCACCTGGGAAAGAGAGGAGCAACAGAGGAGTGCTTGGGCCCATGCCTCTCATGTGGACAACTGGGACCAAATTATGGGTTCCTGGTTTTAATCTGAACCAGCCCTGGCCATGTTGGCCATGTGAAGAGTGAACCAGCAGATGGAAGATTTCACACTCTCTCAATCCTTCTTCCTGTACTTCTTTCAGATTAATCAATTTTTTAAAAAGAAACAAATGCTATACACTTCAGACAAACTTGTTTAATTCTTAAAAATACAAATTTGTGATTTCTCAAGAAAGGATAAACATTTGATCGGATCTGAAAAATGGTAATAAAGTAAAAAGCCTTACAAATAAAAAATTGCAGGATGAATTATTTCCTTCTTAGAGAAAGGTACAATTAGGAAATAATACTGGATAGAGAACCTGGAAAAAAAATTCTGCAAAACATTAAGATTTAAAAATCAGCATTGTTGCAGTCTCTTTATTGTATACAAGGTAGTGATGTGAAAGCTACACATCATTATATCTGATATAATGGTATTTATTTTCACTTACTTGAAAGTCTGTATGGAGAGGGGAAGACAACTGGAGAAGGAAATGGGACGCGAGAGAAGGAGAGGGGGAGATCTAAAGAAGAAGAGACAGACCTTTTCTCTGCTGACTCACTCCCCAAATATCCATAACAGTAGGGGCTAGACTAGGCCAAAGTCAAGACCCCCCTCCATCTACTCCGCATTTGGCACTTGAGCCATCATCTAAGGCTTTCAAAAAGCAACAGCAGGAGACCAGGTGGAAAGCTGCCTAGATGCAGGCAACCCAAATGGTGGCTTAAGCTGTTGAGCCACAAGGCCGTCAGCATGGGTCATTCTAAGACATACCTTGTCCATCTGAGTTCTCGGAAGTCAGGCCGTTAGGGCTGTGTTCTTCTGAGCTTTGCCGGTAAAGTCCTGCAGACAGCCTTCTCTCGCCTGGCTGCAGTCTCTCATAGCCAGCCTGGGAGCACAGGAACTCCATCTGCTTTGCCATCACCTTTTCAGGCTGCTAGTAAGTAAAGCAAAAATAAAATCAGCAACTGAACTATTCTCGACTTTTTAATGGCTTAAAAATGTCAATTTTAGACTCTAGCAAACATATTTAGCAATCTTTAAAATCAGTTCACACTTCATGTGGTATACACATGCCATAAATATGCATAGATGTCTATATCATCATATTAAAATACAGATCCCTTTCTCTAACTTATAAATTCCATCTCAGGTTCAAAGCAATATAACCTTGGCTTTGTTTTCCAAAGGTACTGTGTCCTTTAAATGAATTTTGAAAAAAGAAAGCTAAAAGAAACAGCAGCATCTGCCACGGGCTGCTTCTAACAGGGTGAAATCTTGGCATTTTTATTTTAGGATTTGGCACTACACAGACTCTGTCATGACAGTGTGCTTGGGGGAGAAAAGGTGTAAAATGGTTGTCTAGAAGAAGAAGAGAAACACACTTCCCACTAAAATTAAACAATGCAAATTATGCAGGAAAATGTCAATGCTGATGGTGACTCTGCCTTCATCCCAGGATGAAGCTGCAGGATTCCCAACCAATCATAAAAGCACATGTTTTAAAATACACAGTCAGCTGACACATACACCTATCGCTGTGTTCTGTAAGTCTCTTACTAATAAATGCCTTCAAATTACTTGTGATACTCAAAGCAGTGTGTTTCTGTTATTTTCTCAAGAATTTAATGCACAGAAAAGAAATCAATACCAGGTCACCTGAAACAGTAGCACAAGAAAGTGCTACATGAAACTGCTTCCAGAATGTTCTGGTTTACAATATAAAAGTCAACAAGTAGAATGTAATAGCCATAGACTACATAGAAATGCTCTTTTTCTCAATGTACATAATCATATCAAAAGTGACCATAACTTCATCTCATCTGAACTTGTTACTAATTAAATAACATGTTAATATGCATTCTCAAGGAGAAATATATAATTTATCATCTCAACATGAAAACACAAAACGTGGTGATTCTAAATGTGATAAAAAGGAAATCACTCAGGGGAAATGTAACAGAATAAAGCTTACAAGCTCCTCAAAAAATGTTAGCAGAAATGACTTTTCTAAATTGGCTTCAGTGCCCACACACAAATCATGTCAAAAGTACCTCAAACTGCACATTCAACAATTTTTTAAAAACTATCTAAATTCAAATGATTTAATATTTTGTTGAAAATTAGCACAATGTTGTCTGAGTTCTATTACACAAAGTCAACACGGATGTAATGAGTCAAACTGCTTTTTTCCGGGTTTTCTGGAGAACCTGTCTCATTATCTTTAAAACTACAAACAATAAGTCAGTAGCTCGCTACCAAATTCTGTTCATATACTAAAAGAAACCAAATGGTCATGATTACAATGTTGATACAGCTCTGGATCATTTAGTCCTCAGGTAACTTCAATTAAACTAGTTGAAAGAACTATTTGTTAATGTGATCTACAGATGTCACTATAAAGTAAGAATTTGTCGTTTGTTACCTGAGAACCAAGAGCTGCAAGTTCTTCACTCTTAGCCCTAGCTTGCTGGAAGAGTGTCTGCACAGAATCCTGGAAATCTGGAAACCCATCCTGTGGATCAAAGCATAAATTCTTTAGATTGAAAATTTGCAATAAAACACCATATTACCTGGAATTCGGAAAATAAAGCAGCAAAACCACCTAATATCCCACCATCTAAATGATGTTAATGTTCAAATGTACAGTATGTCATTCCTATATTTTATGTATCAAACGCCTTATTTATCTTTTATTCCTTCTCAGTTATTTGAAAGGCAGAAAGAAAAGGGGGATGGGAAGGAAGGAGAAAGAGAATGCTCACTCCTAATTTCTTTCCAGGTGGAAACCAGAGCTGAGGCCTCACTGCAATTTTCCCATTCCCTGGAGCAACTACCTGAGCTATCGGCTGCTGCCTCTCAGGGTCTGTCGGAGGAAGCTGGCCCTGCGAGCAGGAGCTGGGACTTGTACACCGCCCACAACCCAAGGATTCCACACGGGTCCTGGACATTTAAGTACAAGGTTGAATGCCTATCTCTATATGCCTTTTTTTCTGTAACTGTAACATCAGTAAAAACAGTTGAAAAGAGGAAAAAAAAAAACCTACTCATTTCCCTTTGCTTTACACTGGAAAATAAACTTTATGGTATTGATAACAATGGTTGTATTTCATCTAGTTGTTTGGACTAATCACTCTAAGTTCTGGACAACACTTAAATTATTTCTATTCTATGATTACATATTTGTGCTATAATCCACTTACTACTTTTTCTCTATTTATTTAAAAAAACAAAATATCACAACCACTATTCACAACAGCATGGTTTAAGTAACTGATGAGAGGTACTAAAGGACTCCTCAGAAAAACTGTCATCAATAATATACTCTAATGTATTTAGCCCCTGTTTGATAAACTATACAATTATAGAAAAGGATGAATCATTACAAACCAAAGCTCTTAAAATTACACAGCATAATAAGAAATAAATAGCTTACCCTATTTGAGATACAGAGCTGTGGTTTCTATGTTCTGTGTTTTTACATGCCTTGTCCCATTTAATCTCCCCTACAGACAAGCCCAGGACGCCCTCATGTCACAGCTGCAGAGGCTGTCTAGTTAGTTACGAAGCTTACAACAGGAAATGCAGGCATTTCTCACAGCTGTGGCTTATGGGCTGCTTTAATGTTATGACCAGCACTGAGTTCAAAGCCCAATTCTACTAACTTGTTATGACACTAGGCAGATTACCATTAGTGTCTTTTTCCTCATCTATGAAATGGACATAAACAATAGTACTTAGCTAATTTATGCAACATTTTAAGGAAGCAAATGTTTCTTGAGTAATATTTAATGACAGAAAAGGCAGAAAAGACCAGTTGTACTGATATTTACGCTAAGCTCATCCAAAACCCACTAGGTTTAATCACAGTAAAGCAGGCAACATGTTCTAGGTAACTACTGTACAGAGACAAAAGATACATTTTAAAGAGCATAAACATCTTACAGAATGCACAGGGACTGGCCATTTATCACCAAGACCAATAAGAAAATACTGGATTTATTGGTGGAGAGTTGCTTCTTTGAATAGAACATAGAAAAAACACCAGAAGCACATGCTTATTCATTTGACAAAAATGTCATGTTGACCTGATTCACAAATGGTAGGGGCTAGGCAATGGCAAACACGATAGCCATGCCTTCTGCCCTGACCACCACAGGCCAGAGCGAGAAATGGAGAAGGCTCAGGGCACAGCAGAGAGCAGTGGTACAGAGGAGGGTTCCCACAGGCATGGTTAGGCTGAGGTCTGAAAGAAAAGCAAGATGCTTGTACAAAGGTCTGAAGACAAAAACAGCATACACTCTAGCATTTGCAAAATATTTAACATGGCTAAAACAAAGAATAAACTGGAAGGTGGGAATGGTGACAGAAGCAGTGGAAATGCAGAGCCAGAGTCTGCAAAAGCTTGAAAGCTGTTAAGATTTTTGATCTTAAATGCAAATAAAGAAGTCACTGAAGGTCTTAGTGAGGAGATGGATCACATTTGCATTCAAATCTGAATGCAACGCAATGCGTAAGCTAGAGAGAGAGAGAGGGACAGAGAAGATGTGTGTGTGTACAGTAGTAGAGAGACTGGATGCAGAGCTATGGCAAAGACAGAAAACGGTGTTCTAGTCCCTGGATGGTGGCAAACTTAATAGAGAAATACACAAATTCCAGACTTTATGATACCAAGATTTTGCCATTCACTATACAAGGAACTTGGAAGCTGGAGGCTTATGGAGTGTCCGAATGTTGACTGATTCAGCTGGGACATGCTGAGTCATCTGCCATGAGGCTCCAGGAAAAGCCAGGTAAGTAGATACATGGCTGCAGAGCTTTGGCAAAAGCAGGGCTCTGGACCCAGGGCAGAAGGCCCTCAACTCATCAGCAGGCACTGGGTGGCATGTGCCCAGCCAGAATACCCAACATTTCAGCATGTTTTTTTAAACTGGCCGTAGACAGAGAAGTTTATTTGCAAAGGGACCAGGTGAGCAGAGAAAGAAGAGGAAACAGGAAACCATTTCCCAGGAGAAAGACGGGGTGGTGGGGTGCCTCTTGAAAGGAGAGAGGGAGAGACACCCTCAGCACTGGTTTTGAAGGAATGTACAGAAGGACAAAAAGCATACTCTTCTTGCACTGGGAATCAAACATGTGATCTCAGGCAAGAAAGTTAACTCATTATTTCTAATATTGCCAATTTTAAAATGGGGGTGATAACCACCTGCTTGAGGACTTTTCTGGGGATGGGAAAGATGGTAATGCAAATGGCAAATCTTGCCATAAAACACATTGTCAGAATTATTCAACCATGAAAGTGCTGAAAAGCTGGAAGGAAATTCTTACACATGAAAGCTTTTAGAAAATGGATACTGTTTCATCATTAACAAAAGTTTTAAATAATAACAATATCCAAGTAATTGGCGGTTCCTCTGCAGCTGAACCCATCAGTCACTGTCATTTTCTTCCATACTCTCCACAGTTCATCAGGACTGAACAGCTATTACTGCATGAACTATAACGTAGGGTCAAGGTACCAAAATAGGTCTTGGCACTGAAACTGAGAACATTCCCACAAAACTAGTCTTTTTCACACTGACTTGGTGCAGGGTGTTTATTCGAAGTCTCTAAACCATGTCCCCAGCCACCAGTTGTGCCCCACCATGAGCAATTTATCTCCATATCATATCCTTGCATGTTCCTTAGCTGATGAAGCTGGGTCTGAGCACCAAGAAAACATAAGATAGAGGGCTGTTCCTGACTTAGTTACCCTCATCCCACTGGTCGCCACCCCCATCCCTCCTCATCCTTTCCAACAAACACTAGCAAGCTTAAAGCCACATGGCTTAGCTGTCTCTAAATGACATGTTACAGCAGATGTTCTCAACCCCACATGTGTATTTCCCTTTTCTATTCGCTTTCTGTATGAATAGAAGATTGTAATGCTTCTGGTTTGCTGATCCAAAGGGCTAAAGTCTACATCAAATTTCTCCCTAGCGGCCTTAGTAATAGTGCAGGTGGATTAACTGACCCTCTTCCCTTCCCCTTCCTCATGTTCTACCCGCACACTCCTTGAACTGCCAGCAGATGTTTCCTCCTAGTTTTTTCTCCTTCAGGCCCCAGGCCACTGACTTCCCTGGGCTTCACTGACCCCCACAGGGTCAAAAATTCTCTTTCCTCCCAACCCTGCCTGGTCTCCAGCAATCTCAGCGAATGAGGAAATCGTACAGATGAGATATGAACAGCTCTGAGCCCATGGCTTATTAAGTCCTCCCTCCCTCCTAAGGCTCCTTGCAACACTGGAGGTAACAACAGTTGGTTCACGAGAATAGCTGCCAAACCATCCTATATATGCCCTGTCCTAAGTAGGGTGTTAATAAATCAGCTAATTTTTCTTGATTTGCTCTATCTTCTTCTATTCAACTCTAAATGTACAGTTCAGGGAAACATAACATTGAGCAACAAAAAGACAGCTTACTGAGCTTCAACACAGCATTATTATTAGTGTATGCTAATGCAGGCTAATTGTAGGCAAGAAAATGTTTCTCTTATATGTCAAATTATTTTGATCTACTTCTATATTTTCTATCAGATATTACATTTCTTTCATTTTTAGTATAAAAATTATCTTCCAAGATTAAAAAAGAGTCCAAACCTGGCATGTATGCTTATTAGCTGTTTTAAAGAATTCTGGAAAATTAAAAATGAAAGAGGAAAAACTGTCTTCTTAATTTAGGAATTGGTTGCACTTCACAACAGGTTAAGCTTGCCTTTATATTACTTACTTAAATAGAGAATAACACATTAACAAACACAAAGGAAGTACAAATTAAATAAAAGAAAAAAAAGGGTGCTTAAAGATTTCTAAAATCATTCTAGCTTTATTTATGAGACCTTTTATATACAAATTGGTCTCCTACTTACTGGTCTCTAACATCTAGTATTTTCTTACCTCTGTGGTTTTGACTATGCTAATCTATTTTTAAATTAAGCTTCTTTTTTTAAAAGATTTTTTTCTGTTGTACATTTACACACAGAGAAGGAGACAGAAAGATCTTCCATCTGTTGATTCACTCCCCAAGTGGCCACAATGGCCATAGCTGAGCCAATCTGATCTGAAGCCAGCAGCCAGGAGCTTCCCCTGGGTCTCCCATGTAGGTGCAAGGTCCCAAGGCCTCTGGCCATCCTCTACTGCTCTCCCAGGCCACAAGCAGGAAGCTGGGTGGGAAATGGAACAGCCAATATGTGAATTAGAGCCCAAAGGGGATCCCAGCAGATGCAAGGTGAGGATTTAGCCACTGGGCTATCACCTGGGACCCCCTACTCTATTTTTTTAAGGCCATCCTTAACCTCTGCCCAAGATCCCTACCATCTGAAAGCAAATCCTTATTCACATTTTTTTTTTTACAGATTTACTTATTTTAATGACAAAGTCACAGAGAGCAACAGTGAGAGAAATCTGCTAATTTGCTCCCCAAATGGTCACACAAAGAAAGGGTTGGACCAGCCTGAAGCCAGGCTTCAGAAACTCCAATTCTGCTCTCCCATGTGAGTGACAGGAGCCCAAATATTTGAGTCACCATCTGCTGCTTCCCAGCCACATTATCAGGCAGCCAGATCAGAAGTGGAGTAGCTGGAACCCAAATTGTAAACCAGCACACCAATGTGCGATGCAGCCTAATCTACTATGCTACTAGGATGGCTGCTCAACCTTTTAAAAGCCAGCTTAAATAAATAAATAAATGATATCGCCTCTTCAGAGGCTGTCATGATCTCATCTCATGCCAAAAGGTAAAGGAAAGTAAAATACTATCACCTGATAAAAAGCCATAGCAGAGTATCATCCTACAAAGCAATATTAACTACCTCAGCACTAACCTCTACAACCAAAGGAAAACTCTTAATATCTCAAATCTCACTCAGAGAATATTACAACAAATCTTTAAGGCTTATACAATGTACATGCATGCATGGGTACAGAAACACACACACATACATAGAGTCACTTTTAGAGATACTGATGACAGCCATACACAAGTGCTATTTAAAAATTCAGCAAAGGGGAGAACATGGTGGTGTCACCTGGGATGCTAGCATTCTGAGTGCCTGAGTTCATGCCCCAGCCACTCTGTTTTCCATCTGGCTTCCTGTTAATGTGCCTGGGAACCAACAGTTAGCTGACTTGAGTTCCTGCCACCCACAAGCTCCTGGCCACCCACAAGCACCTGGCCCAGACTAGGTGAACTGGAAGACGGAAGACATCTCTCTCTCATTATGCCTTTCTAAGAATAAATCTTAAAAAACAACCAACCAAACAAAAAAAGCCATACAAAAACAAAATAAAAAAATAAACCAACAACAAAGAAATGATCCACTGTTCTAAATTCAAATTTAAAATCTATTTATGGGAAACAATCAAGAGGTTAGTGTCTACACAAGTATTTAAAGCTAGAAGCTGATCAGTCACTTCTCTAATTCAGAAAGGTTAGTGCCACTATTCACATGAAAAGGAAACACTGATTATCTTTCAATTCTGAATCCAGAATTGTTCAAGTGGCTTTGTAAAAGAGTAAATGAGTAGGGGCTAGTGTTGTGTCATAACAGGTTCAGCCACTGCCTGCTACACCGCCAGTACTCCACATGGCCTCCACCTTGAGGCTCACTTCCAATCTGGCTCTCTGCTTCTGGCCTGAGAAGGCAGTGAAGGCATGACCCAAGTCCTTGGGATCCTGCACCTAAAAGGGAGAGCCAGGATAAGCTCCAGATCTGCTCAGCTCTGGCTGTTGAAGGCATTTGGGGAGTGAACCAGTGGATGGCAGACCTTCTTTTTCTATCCTCTCTCTGTAAAATCTGCCTTAAAAAAAAAAAAAAACACTCTATGAAAAAAAAAAGAAAAGAAAAACAAAAGGAGACAGAGACGTCATGGGACACTTATTTGAGTTAATCTAGAATATAACCCTAGGTAGAACGAGCAGTTGGTGCTGAGGCACAAATTAGTGTGGCATGTTCCAAATCCAGAAAGTTGGCCAGTGCTGAAACGGCTGAGAATGGGTAAGTGCAGCAGCATACAAATATGGTAAAAAGCCACAGGAAAGAAATTAAGAAAGTGGGCCCGGTGGCCTAGATGCTAAAGTCCTCGCCTTGACCGTGCCAGGATCTCATATGGGCGCTGGTTCTAATCCCGGCAGCTCCACTTCCCATCCAGCTCCCTGCTTGTGGCCTGGGAAAGCAGTCGAGGACGGCCCAAAGCCTTGGGACCCTGCACCCATGTGGGAGACCTGGAAGAGGTTCCTGGCTCCTGGCTTCAGACTGGCACAACATCGCCCGTTGCGCTCACTTGGGGAGTGAATCATCGGATGGAAGATCTTCCTCTCTGTCTTTCCTCTCTGTATATCTGACTTTGTACTGAAAATAAATAAATCTTTAAAAAAAAAAAAGAAATTAAGCAAGAAAAAAATTTATGCTTTAGCAGGACAGCTCTGGTATTGGTACAAAGAAAGTATTACTTCCATACATATGCACTTAGTATCACTTGATAACGGAAGTTTATCACTGTCAAACATAATTTGTTTTACTTGAGATTAAATAATAGGATGGTCAACAGGGTACTGATCCCCATTCTCTACCTAACGGAAAAAATAAGACAAAGTCATCCAGCTTCACATTTTCACTCTTCCTATAGACTAAGCTTTTAAAAAAGCATTCCATCTGAGTTAAGGAACAGCGGCTCTAAGAGCGTTCTGTCACTCTGGGAGCCTTACAATAAGCACATTTTTCTTGTTCAATGTCTTCCATACCACTTACAAATTTAAAATCAGAACAGCCTCAGCAATGATCCTACAGTGGGAACTGAAGTAGTCTCCCTAATTTTTCGCTATTAAATTGCCATTTCTTTCAGAAAATTAATGTAAAGAAACAAAAGCTCTCCTGAATTATCTGTACCATGAAATGCATATACATAGTCTAAACAGTAAGGAGTTTTACATCTACAACAAACATCAATATACAAATAAATCTTTGATAAACTCACTGAACATCAATCTAGTATGTAGGCTGAAGTCTCTTTGGGGGCAGGAGAAGAAGGGCAACCCAGTATCCCAAATTAGGCTGCTTATTTGAGAACCAGTTGTTCAGTTTCTAATCCAGCTTCCTACTCATGAGCCCAGAAAAGTAGCAAAACATGGCCCTGGTTCCTGGGCCCTTGGTCTCAGCCTGCCCAGCCCTGGCCATGATAGCCACTGGGAGAGTGAAGCAGCGGATGGAAGAGCTCTCTGTCACTCTGCTTTTCAATATGGGAGACAGATCCTTGTTTAGCTAGTTCACATGACTGTAGACACTTCAAAGTAACAACATTTTATATTGCTTCTACGATTCTACAGTTCTTTTTTGGGCTGAACTATTAAGATTTTTGATTATCTTAAAAACGGAAGCAATTGTTACCAGTTTAAGAAAATATAATATATAACCATACCTCCACTTTAATTCTTTTTGGAGATAGTTCATCTCTTTCTCCACATTTTGACCTAAGGAGGAAGGAAGAAAAAGAAAAACTTAAGAAGATAACAAATGCTAATACCAAAAGTGTCTGAATTTATGATATTCTACTAAAACATGTAACATGTCTAATTTCAACATGAAGAATGACACAACAAGCATTAAAATAATGAAAATTTTTCATTAATTTCCTAATTAATATTAGGGAATATGCAGACACAATAACACATTTTCAATGGCAACTATCTAAGAACTTACCACACAGAAGTCATTCAATTAATATTTAGTAATTATCCCATTACAAAAAAAGAGAAAGAATTAGATAGGCTATTCCTTCATGAGTTAATCAGAACAATTTAGACAAAACGACAAAACAACTGTTTAAGATGAAGGCTTAATATCACTGAGATAAGTGTATTTTGTTTATTTTCCAAATCTACAAATGCATTTGCCCTTGACTCAGAAATCTCTCCATTGGGAATCTAACTTAGGTGACACTCCATATAATATGAAAGGACACCTTATCAATGTAAGAGACATTTCATGTAACACTATGAAACATTACTGTCAATTAAATTATTGCAAGTCATCAACTCTATAAGCTATATCTTAAAATGTTAAAAAAGGTATATCCCCCAATTTGACAAAATATAATGTGCATGATATTATTTACTGTGACATCATTTACAGGTACAGAGGACTAGAAACAAGTCAAGTACAACAGAGAACTGGGCCAGTAAAACAAGCGACAGTCATAATTCAATATCATGCAGCTATAAAAGATGAGGAAGATGAGTATACACTAATAAAACAAGATCTTCAAGATGTTAGGGAAAACAGAACAATGTATGATACCCTCTGATTTTTGTTAAAAGAAAATAAGAATATACATTTGTACTTGTTTCATATGCAGTTACAGCAGTGGGGAGCCTTTTCTGCCAAGGGATATTTATAACTTCACTTGCAGGCCATTCAGAATTGCCAACTTAAACATTAGCCTGCTATGAATTATTGAGTCTCGAGTCACACCTGCAGCTGACTTTGCAGGTCCAGATAAAATGATTTTGTGGGCCTCATACAACCAGAGGGTTGGACATTCCCCATCCCTGGATAAACACACTAGAAGAAAAAAAGGAACTATCTGTAACAGGGAACAAGGTAAAACAGGATTAGAAGTGAAACTTTTTGTATTTTTTAAACATAGTTTTAGTTTCTATATTTAAAAATACACTTAAAAAAGAAATATAAATGGAAGTACTAGAATAAACAGTTAAAAATTATTAAAGGCAGCTCCCTCTAGAAGGGGGTCACTGCCTTGTCTGCTATGTGACCTCCTGAATCATATATGCATATACATAACTGATTAAAGGAAATTAAGTACTCAGAAAATTCTGTAAAACACAGTAAACAAAAAATCATGAAATCAGGTCTTCAATAACTCCAAAAAAAAAAAAAATCCCTACTTGTAAATAATTTTATACTGCTTCTTGGGTATTCTCACCCAGTTCATTTGGTGTATATAATTTTAACCTATTATCAGTTTGTAACTACAGAGACACCAAAGCAGGGTTAAAAAAATAAAGGTATAAATTAGGAAAAATAATGCTGATAAAAGCAAACCCTAATTAGTGATTTTCAAACTAGTGTTTGCATAAGATTCATCCAAGATGTATGAGAAAGTTCAGCTTCTAACATTCAATCTCCAAAGACCGTGAGTTATTAGGACCAAGAAGAGCGTTCAGGATGCAAATTTCCAGCAGTAAGTCCAGTGCAAGAGGACATGTGCATCTACTGAGAGACTCAGTGGCCTGTACAGATGTGGGAGGGCTGGAAATCAGGTTACATGCAGAATCAAGTAGCAACATCCAAATAATACTACACCTGTAGGCAACACTTAGAGTGTAAGTGAGGGTAAGATGAAGAATAAAAATCTGTGTTTACATTAAATCTTGAAACTATCATTGTTTTTCACTATTACATTTTATATTTCAAAATCATATTCTAGTAATAAATCACATGCTAGTAATAAGAGCATCTTCCAGTTTGTCCTTGTAAATAATCTTTTTACATATGCAGCTAATCTCAGCTTGTAAAAGGGACTATTTTGCATCCTCTTAAGAGTTTGCAAAGTTTGTGTAGTTTGCAGCTGTATAACTATGTGAATGAGGTCCAACTCATTATCAAATGCAAAACCAAACTAAAACCAATATTATGGAACAAAACACTAGGGACAGAAGAGAATGAAGAGATAGAAAAGAATGAAAAAAAATAGCAAAGTCACTTTAACAATAGCCTTGTATAGGGTTATTGCATTGTTCAATTCATTTACTGGTTCATTCCCCAAATGTCCTTAACAGCGAGAATTCTAACCTGTTGAAGCCAGGAGCCAGAACTCCACATTGTCTCCCACATGGATGGCAAGAACACAAGTATTTGGGCCATTACTGCTCCCTCCCAGGCACATTAGCAGGAAGCTGGACTGGGGGCTTGGGCAGCAGGGACTTGAACAAAACATTTCAACACTGGATGTGGCTATTGCAAGCAGCAGCTTAACCCAGGGTCACAGTAGGTAACCCTGTTTAATTTTATAGAACTACATCATACTTTTACCTTTCTTCCCCTTAATATTTATTTGAAAGGCAGAGAGAGAAAGAGAGAAAGGGAGAGAGAGAAGAGAGAAATGTCCACTGGTTGATTCCAGAAATGCCTGGAACAGCTGGCCACAGCAGGGAGCCAGAGCTCAATCCAGGCCTCCAAAGGAGGTGCCAGGGACCCCACTACCAAGTCATCACCTGCTATCTTTCAGACTGTGGGTCAGCAGAAAGCTGGAATCAGAGGCAGAGCTGGGACTCATCCCCAATCACTCACACACAGGGCCATCTCAAGAGTCTCAACTGCTATGTCAAAGGCCTGGCCCAACTTCCAGGCTTTCAAAAACACTCACATTCTATCAATGGGTGGTTTCAAACTTTACTTCTATGAAGTGATGCCAAACTACTGCCAATAAGTTAACACTTACTTGGTAGTTCTGTAAGTATATTTGTAGGTGACTTCTCGAGAAATCTGCCTAGCCAGGGCGAAAAGTTCATCTCTTCTGGTCAGCAGGGCATTATCCTTCACACAGAGCTGTGCAGCTGCTTCATTCACAGTGAGCTGGATATTAAAGATAAAGGCACACAAGCTATCAACATCCATACTTCATCAAAATGCTGAGATGTTCCACTTAAAAATATAAAAGGTCACACTATTGTTACTAAATCATAATTCATAAAATCAGGATGACGGTTACTCTTTTAAGATTTATTTATTTTTTATTGGAAAGGCGGAAATACAGAGAAGAGGAGAGACAGAGAGGAAGATCTTCTGTCCAATGGTTCACTCCTCAAGTGGCTGCAATGGCTGGAGCTGAGCCAATCTGAAGCCAGGAGCCTCTTCTGGTCTCCCACGCGGGTGCAGGATCCCAAAGTCCCAAAGCAGGGTTCCTGCTTTCCCAGCCCCCAGGCAGGGAGCTGGATGGGAAGCGGGGCCGTCGGGATTAGAACCAGCACCCATATGGGATCCCGCTGTGTTCAAGGAGAGGATCTTAACCGCTACGCTATTGCACCAGGCCCTGACAATTCCTCTTAATTATTCTCAAGCCAAATTTCAGAGGAGAATTGTATTATCACCATCTTACACAGCTCACACTAATCACAATTGTTACTCTGCTTACACTTATTTACATTTTTGAGTGGACAGCCGGTTTTATGGACAAGGAAAAAAAAAAGGAAAAGTTATTCGGCATCTCAGTTTCTAAAACTTTATTTCCAAAGCTTTATTTATTTGACTGGCAGAATTATAAAGAAAAAAGGAGAGACACAGAGATCTTCCAGCAACTAACTGACTCTCCAAATGGCCACAATAGCCAGGGTTAGACAAGACCAAAGCCAGGAGTCTGAACTCCATCCGGGTCTTTCATGTGGATTGCAGCAACCCAAGCTCTTAGGGTATCTTTTGCTGCACTCTGAGGTGCATTAGCAGGGATCTGCACCAGAAGTAGAAGAGTCAGGACACTAGAACATAATGTTGGTGTTGCAAACGCTGGCTTAACATGCTGTGCCACATGCAGGCAACTGCAACTCATTTTTCCTGTGAAAAATCAAGATTACATGATTTGGTAATAGTATTTTCCAAAACACTTATGGTCCAATATGTTTTTTAATGATTTATTTGAAAGACAGTTATATATATATATATACACACACACACACAGAAAGAGAGAGATTTGTTAAACGATGTATTTATGTATTTGAAAGAGGAGGAACAGAGGGGGAAACAGAGAGAGCGCGTGTGTGAGTGAGAGACTTCATCTGTTGGTTCATTCCTCAAGTGACTGCAGTAGCTGGAGTTGTGCTGGTCCCAAGCCAAGAGCCCAGGGCTGCCTCTGGTACCCTCAACAACAGTATAGGGGTCCAAGCATTTGGGCCATCTCCCACTTCCTTCCCAGGCACAGGAGCAGGGAGCTGGATTGGAAGTAGAGCAGATGGGACTTGAATTGGAGCCCATTTGGGTATCAGGGTCACAGGGAGCAGCTTTATCCACTGTGCTACATTGCTGGCCCCAAACTTTAAAGACAAAATATAACCAAGACTTGATAAATGGCAAAAGAAAATGGGACCTGATGACAAAAGACTTCAGATTAATGCCATTTCATCACTTATCAGCTGTGTGACTTTGGACAAAAACCTGACAGAGCCCTAGATTTCTGAGGGACAAAATAAGATAATACTGTTAATATAATACTATTATCTCAAAGGAGTCAAGGCAATGAAGAAACACACCAGCAGAGTCGCTGAGTTAGTTCCTGCTGTTCTAAGAAAGCAGGTGTACATCCTTTCTCCTTATGGGGACAGTCCACCTTGATCAGTAAACTCTTTTCTCAATTTTTTGAAAATATAGAATGTGAGGAAAATAAATGTAGCACACAATTCTTCCACTCAGAATGACTAATTCTATTTTAGTATTAACATACATGTACTACTTCTGTATATGCCTATGAATATAAGCATACACAGATCTGTAATCTTTGCTTGTATACAGAGACTTGGCTTATTTATTTCAGCATGTGCTCAGTAAGCATCTACTGACTGATGGAGGAATTGAAACACCCCTGATAATAACATTTTCAGCACCTATACATATAACATATTGTAGGATGCAGCTACATTGTATTATGGGAAACAGAAATTTGGTATTTAGAGTGTAGACACTAGTCTACCTACAGCTGTCCGAGTACTACAAACACAGTTGCAAAAAAGTATCCCCAAATCTGCATTTCCATAGGGGCAAGCATTCTGGTGTAGCTGGTAAAGCCACATTTGAACTGCCTGGATCATATGGGCACCAGTTCTTATCCCGGTGGCTCTATTTCCAATCCAGTTCCCTGTTGATGGCCTGGGAAAAGCTGAGGAGGGTGGTTCAAACACTTGGGTCTCAGATGTCCGCTTGAGAAACCAGGATGAAGAAGCGCCTAGCTTCTTGGCTTTTTGCCACCATCTGGGTAGAAGCTCTCTCTGTCTTTCCCTCTCTAAGTTCTGGCTTTCAGAATAAACAAACATTTAAAACTATTTGCATTTTTGCACAAATATCTAATTATTTCTTTGGATTACCTTTAAGAAATTTATAGATCCTACTAACATCTTTCCGAAAATTTTCTTCAAATAATGTTACAAGTGATTATTGAAATAGCTCATTTTCTAGAATCTTGATCAACACTGGTTATTTATTATTATTTTATCAGCTTTACCAATCTGATGTAGCTTAAATGACATCTGGCTATATTTCTCTATGTATCTGCACATTTCTCTTTTTATGTGAGAGGCGGAAGCCCTGACCTGCTTGTTTACTTCCCAGATGATCAGAATGGCCTGGTCAGAAGCCAGAAGCAGCAACTCAATCCCGCAACAACTCCTCTGTCCCCCAGGGTCCACATTATCAGGAAGCTGGAGTCAGAAACTGAACCTGCATATTCCAATATGTTAAGTGGGTGTCTTAATCACTGGAATAAACATGCACCCCTGAACCTTTTTCTTAAGTTTTTTGTATATTTTAAAATTCATCTGTTCATAGCTTTGGCCTATTCAATTGCAATGTTGCATTTTCTTACAAACTTTCGGAATTCCTTACAAACTAACTCTGTACCCAATGTAGTGGAGTGGTTGGTCAGTTTGTCATTAGTCCCACAGCTTTTTCTTTGAATGTAATGCATAGAAATGCCCTTCCAATCCAAACAACATAAAAACACTCTTACATTTTAGTCTAGTTCTACCTTTTCTATTCACCTATAATACAGCATTATAGTCATTGTACATGATGTGATAAGGAAATTTAACATATTTCTCAAATTTGTAGTTCTAATTGACCTCAGTCTGTCTTAGATAATTAATTTACCTACTGACATGAAGACTGTAATAAGCTCAGGTTTTCCATCTTAAACCTACAGCTAATTATGGAAGTACAACTGCAGAGATTTCTTTTCAGCCTTCTCCTTTTCCCACTAAATAACCATCAAAGATCAATATTTTTCTGAAAGCACTTCTGAAATACATTAGTAGAGCTTAAAGTAAAATAAATGTAGAGGCCAGAATGATGGCAGAGCAAGCTAAGCCATAGACTGTGATATTGGTTTTCTACTTGGGTATCAGTTTGAGACCTGGTTGTTTTCGATCTAGCTCCCTGTTAATGGGCCTGGGGAAGCTGGGAAGATGTGGGAGACCTGGATGAAGCTTCTGGGTTCAGCCTGGCCCAGCCCTGGCTGTTGTGGCAATCTGGGGAATGATCTAGTAGATGGCAGCTTGAACTCTCCATCTCTCCCTTTCTCTTCAAAACTTCGCACTTCAAATAAATTAATTAATAATAAATACATTTCAAATAAGTGAAATAACTTTAACGAATAATTAAATAACCTCCGATTTCAACAGGGTAACAGCTACAAATTACTCTTCACATAGCCATTTCTATTTGGCACTCACAAATCTATCCTCTATGAGATATTTTATTTGGCAATATCTCAGAAGTACCAGCTTATGGGCCCAGCGCAGTAGGCTAGTGGCTAAAGTCCTTGCATTGCATGAGCTGGCATCTCATAGGGTCAGTGGCCTGTACCTGAGCTGCTCCACTTCCCTTTCAGCTTCCTGCTTGTGGCCTGGGAAAGCAGTAAAGGGACTCTGCACCTGCATGGGAGACCAGGAAGAAGCTCCTGGCTCCTGGTTTTGGATTGGCTCAGCTCCAGCTGTTGCAGCCACTTGGAGAGTGACTCAGTGGACAGAAGATGTTTCTGTCTCTGACTTTCCAATAAAAATAAAAAGTACCAGCTTATGCCTAATCATAGAAAAACAATTTTTTAAGTGAAACTGAAAACAACGGTCTAGGATTCCTTCTGTCATCTCACTAGTAACCAAGAAAAACAGGCACAACACACTTACTAATACTAAATTCAGGCTCCAACAAACCAAAAAAGTAAACTGAACTCTCTGGGGCTTCAGGGAGCCTAGTGGTAGACCATTAGGCTGGGGAAATAACTCTAGATTACCACAAGCTGCGATAGGAAGCTGAGTCACAAGTCTCTTCCTCAAAAATCTGTGCTGTCAGTATTATCTAGATTTCACACCTCCCAGCTGTCATTGTTACTAATGAAAAGATTAATAACTATTCTAATAGGCTTTAAAAAGATAACAAAAATAATCTCAAATAGCAGATTATTCTCAGCTTTTATTTATATCTTAACTCCTAAATTAAAAAAAATTCACAACATATAATATTTGGATACATTTATGGGATACTACATACACATGTATGCACTGTACAGTGTGTTAGCTCTTAAGGGAAGCTAATGCTCTAGTTTGTAAAAGTATAAAACTCAAGATCCACTGCTTTTCTGTTTGCTTCTTTCTCCCATTTGCTCTATGCCCAAGAATACCGAAATTACATTTGCATTTTCATGTAAATAAATTTTAAAAAATTTATTCTTATTGGAAAGGCAGATTTACAGAAAGAAGGAGATAGCACAGGGAAAGATCTTCTATCCTCTGGTACACTCCAGATGGCTGCAAAGGCTGGAGCTGATCTGATCTGAAGCCAGGAGTCAGGAGCTTCTTCCGGGTCTCACACATACA